AATGATCATGACGATGATGAATTGATGATATTGATGATGATATTTATCTATTTATGTAAAATTACACTGGGATGAATTTATATAAGTTTCAGTTTGTTTTTAATTCCATTAGATCAGTTTGTTTAAACCACATTCTCGTGGGTTTTCTCCAGGTCCTCCAGTTTCCTCCCATTCCTTAAAATTCCTACACGCCAGCAAATTATTGAAATAAAATATTGAACCATACGTTACTCCCGCAATGACCCTCTCTCCCTCTCCAGTTCATCCAGTTTCTTCCCATTCCTTAAGATTCCTACATGCAAGCGAATTATTGAAATAAAATGAAATGAAATGGGGTTTAACGTCCTACTGTTCTGCTCCTAACCTGGGCTAATGAAGACGGGCATACGCCATACAGTGTGCTATGAGGGAAATTTTGCCCGGACAGCGGCACTACAGCCTACTCTTATATCGAATTCCAACTGCCAAGGGATCTTTTACGTGCACGCCAATGTGTACACGAATTATTGAAATAAAATTGAACAATACATCAGTCCTGTAATGACCCTCTCTATCAGGACCAGTATCATCAAACTGTGAATTATTATGATATGTCTTGTTTATTAAATATAACAATAATAGAATTCCTAACTGTTTAATACAACTTGTATATAAACTGCTGACTTGTACAATATGTCAGACTAACATTTTAATAAACCTGACCCCTGACCTGTACATATGTATATAAATACCTGTATAAATATGTCAGTTATTGAGTTAAAAAAATCAATAAATTCTTTACTTATTCTACATTCTTACACTGGGTGGTTAACTTAATCAATCATCCATATAGATCACAAGAAATTTTATGCAACCAGTATATAAACACTGTTGACTTAGCAATTATTCCCCAAGTGCTACTCATCTTCAAAAGACTCAACCAATTCATGTACGTGCAATTCGAAACATGGCATAATTGGTTCCTCGGACAAATGTGCAATGAGTGACGCATATCGATTTTTGATATGATATACCACCATTTCAAGATGACAGTGATAACGTCATGCTCCGCTTCTGGTCAATAGTATGATCATATAACTATTCAGGGGGAGGGCCGGGTGAGCTTCCGGTCATAAGATCTGTCATTTAATAAAGTGGCATGATTTCAATTTTCCCAATTTGTATGTGACAAGAAGGTCTGTCCAACTTTGTGGGTTTTCACCGGCATATAAGGTTTCTTGCCACTGCTAAAGACCGCTACACACAAGCAAGTGAATTATTGAAATAAACTTTAACAATAAGTTAGTCCAGAAATAAATGAAATGAATTGAAATGGGGTTTAACGTCCTACTATTCTGCTCCTATACTGGGCTAATGAAGACGGGCATACGCCATACAGTGTGCTATGAGGGAAATTTTGCCATACAGTGTGCTATGAGGGAAATTTTGCCCGGACAGCGGCACTATCGCCTACTCTTATATCAAATTCCAACTGCCAAGGGATCTTTTACGTGCATTCCAATAGATACACGGGACCTCGGTTTTTCGTATCATCCGAAGGACTAGACAACTGTCCTTGTCAGGCCCTCCGTTCTGCACCACTGACAAGGGGAAACCACGTCGGAAAAAGTCTAGAAATAACATAGTTTGTGTGGAATGTATGTTAAACCCTGTTTCTCTCTCCCTCTATAACTATTTATTATTTAGCAAATCAAATATTCTAAATATCATGAATACTAAAACAAACATTTTGGTAATTACGAGAAAATTGATAAATTTGCGTTAATCAAAAATTAATCATTTATTCCTCATCATATTAATATATGTTTACGTTACGATTCATAAATATTTATCAATATATAACTTATGATTTATTTCTTACAAACGCAAATATCTTATTGCATATTATCGTTTTGGAAATTTGTCAAAAAATTGGTATGATGAATTATATAACACATGCTGTTGACCTTTAAAAATGTCAGATGTTACGTGAAACTAAGATAATATAATATAGAGAATTCATTCTAACTTTATACAACTGATGACTCATCATTTACATATAGGCTTTTATATTTCTTGATATCACAACCTTGAGATACTCTCCGCCATACTCCATACATATAGGTCTATATATTTCTTGATATGAAAACCTTAAGATACTCCGCCATAGGCCTAAAGATATATATATGTTTATACAGAATAATTCAGGAATTTATGGCATCCAAGACTGGAAAGAGATACCAGAAAATGTTTTTTTTTTAAGTTTTGTTATTTAGATATCTTTAATGTTTTAAGATAAATAATATATTCCAGTTGGGTGAAACAAAAGTTCAGAAATATAAATGTTCTACAACTGTTTCTCTATTTTCAGAATATGAATGCCTTGGATAAATGTAGCAGGAGAGAATGAAATGAGGTTTAACGTCCTACTGTTCTGCTCTGACTGGGCTAATGAAGACGGGCATACACCATGCATATACGTTGTCTCATGCCCGGCCGCTGTCCTGAACCACTGACAAGCAGGAACCAAACTAGAAAATGATTTCAGTCAATGCAGGGATAGAACAATGCAGGGCTGCCCCGTGGTGATGAAGATAGACATTCACCTTACAGTGTACTATGAGAGGAATTTAGTAGTAAATGAGATTAAACTCTATTCAACACAAATCAGGCCATTAGTTCATCTGAACATCAATGTATTTTAAATTCCTAGACATAAAATGTTTTTTTAATAATTGTTCTTCTGATCATGTATGATCTATAACTTTTTTTCTTGAATGTTGGGGATTAAAAATGTAAAACTTTCATAATTCTCAGACATCACTATAAGAGATTAAAGGTTACCCAAGCCTTTAATTGGCACCGAATCGGATTAAATCAGAGATTCTTGAATCCATGGTAACTATGGTATTTACATACCAATGAAGGTCACACTGTATCCTTTCAGGTATTTATTTGAGAGAAAACCAACCCATCAATTACAAGACTCTCCAATTTCAGATAGCATCTCAAACCAGTCAAATACTTTCTCCTCCTTGACAAGAGGCTGGATGTACATCTATTAGTGCATTCATGCATGTTGAGTGGAGGAAAGAGAGAAAGGGGTACTCAACACTCTAGGTCATTTCGGGACTAACATGTTACAATTTTATTTCACTAATTCAACTGCATGTAGGGTTCTTTAGCAGTGAATGGAAATTGGAATACCCAGAGAAATCCAAATAGGATGTACACAAGACTTTAATTTTCATCCCATCCGAACGACTAGACACTGTTCCTAGTCAGGCCCTTCAGCCTGCACCACTGACACAGTGAGTAAACCCAGGCTTGAAGATCCTGAGTAACTTATCTTGTCCAACATGAGGAGAGAACATAAGACTTCCTGTTTAGTGAGCCAGTGTCTTACTCAGTGAGTTACTGTGACTCCGTGTGGAAATCGAATACAATGTATATAAACCAGATGGATTATATAATATATGTTTTATAGAATGTTAAAGATAGGGTGTGGTTGTTTATACATGTATGATATAATACATATCAATAACTCTACAAACATAATATCATTAACTCCATATTGTATTAATATGTGGTGTGTTTATTTACAAATACTACAACCATTTTACTTCAATAATTCACTTGCGCATAGAGGTCTTTAGCAGTGTGAGGAAACTGTAGGATCCAGAGAAAACCCACAGGGTTGGACAGGTGACCCTACTACTTAAATACAACTGGAAATCGAAACCATGCCAGACCTTATGATACAACGCGCATGCACTAACCATTCAGCTATTTATTTAGATACATAATAACCATGACTGACTGTAAATGAGAGAGAGAGAGAGAGAGAGAGAGAGAGAGAGAGAAATGAAATGGGTGTTTAAAATCCTACTGTTGATCTGCCCCACCTAATAAAATGAAATGAGGTTTAACATCCTACTGCTCTGCTCCCACTGGGATAATGAAGACGGACCTGGGCTAATGAAGATGAACAAACGCCATACAGTGTACTATGAGGCCTACTCTTATTTCTAATTTAACCTGTCAAAAGTTCTGTAACGTGCATGTCTACGTGTACACAGGACCTTAATTTTTCATCCCATACAATCAACTAGATACTGTTCCTTGCCAGGCTCTCCGTCCTTTAAGCGAGCAAGCGCCTTACTTACTGAGCCACCGTGGGTCCTAGCATGGGACCTTGTATTAGCGAGCCAGCGCCTTACTCACTGTGCCACCGTGGCTCCTAAACGAGAACAAGAGAGAAATTTGGTTTCAAGTCCATCAAATACAAACTAGGTCATTTTGGGGAGCAAACTGTAAAAGACTTCCTTTAAATTAAAACATAGTTTCTACTGGAAGAGCAACTTTCAAGTTTTCTGGGTCAGGGGCAACAACTATGGACAGAATTGATGAGCAAATCAGAATTTTGAGACAATTTGAGTGGCTGAACAATCTTGACAAGTTTTTAAAAAAAAATCTTAAAAGGTTCTGGTTATAGGGGCAGTAACTCTTCAGAAAATGACTTTCTATAGAGTTCCTTCTTCAGAGACAAAAGTTTCAAAACACTGACCTGTTAAAAGCTTACAAGAAATATGGATGGACAGACAGATATAATTAAACATTGAATCCCGTAGGAGGTCCCCAATAGTATGGAAAACAAAACTGCCAGACATCAGGTTTTATAGAGATGCGTTGAGAAATATGTCAGGTCCAAGGTCACTTCAAAGACAAAATAATGGGGAAATGAAATGGGCTTCAACTCCTGTTCCGACTGGAATAATGAAGATGGCTATATGCCATACACAGTGTGCTATGAGGGAAATTTTGCCCATGCAACGACACTATGACCTACTCTTGTATCAAATTCCACAGGACCTCATTTTTTTGGTACCATTTGAACGACTAGACAGCTGTCAAACCCTATGTCCTACACCACTGACAAGGGAAACCACGTCGAAAGATAAAAGGGGAACTAGGCCCTACCTGACTTTTGGAATTAATTAAAAGTAATAAACTCAACTTACCGTTTTCACTGTTTTTATTGAGCTCCTCACACACTTCACTGTTTTCCTCTTCATCTTCTACTATCTCTCTCTCCAAACTTATCTCCGCTTCCTCCTCTTTCTCCATCCCTCCTTCATTCACTTTTAACTGTTCGTGTTTCGGAGATAAAAACCTGCAAATATACCACATCTCCATAGTTTTTTCTTTCTCAGAACTTTTAGGAACTCCCATTTCTACTGGTATCGTATTACCGTTAACAGAATCAACGGAAATATCAGTAATATTAACTAAACTACGATCTATCGTCACACCTAGCGTCTGCTTATCGCTTAATTCCGATTCAATAGCCACTGCTAGCGTCTGTTTATCGATTAATTCCGATTCAATTGTCACACCTAGCGTCAGCTTATCGTTTAGTTCTGATTCAATCGTCACACCTTCTAGCGTCTGCTTTTGAATTAATCCAGATTCAATTTTGACGCCTTCGAGCGTGTGATGACAAATAAATCGCGATTCGCCGTGCTGAAATATTTTCCGCATATAGTCAAATATTCCATTGATTTTTCTTAATACGTTTGTTAAAATATTAAAAGTTAGAAATCGAGAATAAAATGATTTTAATCCACACATTAATAATAATAATGATGTTCTGTTGAAATTGTTTAAAACGCCATTTTTATTTTATTTCAGTTCTTGGTCATTCAAAATTCCAAACTTGTTTTCATCAGGTCAGATATAAAAATGTCAACAATTGGAGAACAACGATTCCAAATCCATTCTCTAAAACTGATCATCAGAGTAGATCGTGCTCCACTGCCTGGGCAAAATGTCACTAAAACTGATCGTCAGATTGATATAAACAAGCCAGCACCATCTGTAAGTATTTGATAAAATCTTTTGATAGGCCTCTTTTTAATCTGACTGAATCCGATCAGAGATGTTATCTGACGTTAATATTTTTGGTGTTAAAGGTTAAACAATCAATTTGAGTACATTGAGCGTGGATCAAACCACGAAAACTTAGATAATGTCCGACAATCGCACGATCGAGATCTGCAACTTTATCAATTATCAATGACAGGATTTACTCGGAACACCCAATATCACTTATAAACCATCTGGAAAGTTCCCATTCATTAAAACTCACTCCAAATACCAATGACAAAGGCACCCTTCTAAAGATCAACACACAAACGCAGAATTTCTACAACATAACTTCAAATTTTAACACCTTTATACTAACGCAAAACGCAAAAGTAAAACTTGAAACGCAAATCTTTATCAACAATGTCTAATCCTGGCAACTCTAACACATAATGTTACGTATTCAAATATTTTCCTCCCTAAAATCTGCCAAAATTAACATTAAAATGCAAATCTTGACGCCAACATCTTGTTGTTATATTTCTCCTATTCAAGTATTTTCAGGTAATAATTTGTCTAACTTCACCGACTAAACCAGTGAGAAAACTGTAGAGAAAGACAAGCAAACTGAAGTGTTTAACCCAAGTGATGATAATAAATACCATGGTAACAAGGAATCTTTGTAATCTAGCCAATCATTGCTAAACATATAAATATACTTTCTACTAGAATTTGGGAGTATCCCAACTTTTATCACCACTATATTGTTACGGTAACCGGTAAATGTGTTGTTTAACATTTAGATCTGGTTGAGATAAAGCTAAAGTCTATCATGAAATATATGGCAGGCCAAAAATTACAGGGTGGTGACAAATTATCATAAAAATTAAACGCTACCAGATTGTAAATATTTTAATGGAAGGCCACCTACTAGGGTTAAATTACAGCCAGGGACCCAGGCAACCTTAATCGACTGTGTACTTTCTTTCTAGAACATCTCATAACACTTGTTGTTTATGTGTGATGTTTGTATATCTAACTCTAGACTATTACATATATCTAGAACATCTCATATCACTTGTAGTGTATATGTAAAGTTTGTATATCTAACACTATAGACTATTACATATATCTAGAACATCTCATACCACTTGTAGTTTATGTGTAAAGTTTGTATATCTAACTCTATAGACTATTACATATATCTAGAACATCTCATACCACTTGTAGTTGATGTTTGTATATCTAACATTATAGACTATTACATATATCTAGAACACCTTATGCCACTTGTAGTGTATGTGTAATGTTTGTATATCTAACACTATAGACTATTACATATATCTAGAACACCTTATGCCACTTGTAGTGTATGTGTAAAGTTTGTTTATCTAACTCTATAGACTATTACATATATCTAGAACATCTCATACCACTTGTTGTTTATGTGTAAAGTTTGTATATCTAACTCTATAGACTATTACATCTTTCTAGAACATCTCATACCACTTGTGTTTTATGTGTGAAGTTTGTATATCTAACTCTATAGACTATTACAAATATCTAGAACACCTCATGCCACTTGTAGTGTATGTGTAAAGTTTGTATATCCAACACTATAGACTATTACATATATCTAGAACATCTCATACCACTTGTAGTGTATGTGTAAAGTTTGTATATCCAACTCTATAGACTATTAACATCTTTCTAGATCACCTAATACCACTTGTGGTTTATGTGTGAAGTTTGTATATGGTTTGTAATACTGATATTACATTGCTCTACTACAGATAGTTTACATTTAATCTTTTATTAACAAACACCAGACTTCCTGTATAAAATTACTAAGACAAATTTAAACATACATTATGTAAGATTAAGAGTCGGCCGTTTTTACTAGTTCCAAAATAGATAATTAAATATGAATATCTAAATAATGATTAACATTTGAAGCCAGAAAACTAACCTGCAATAGGCAGATTTAGCATTTTTGTTGACTTTTGACGATACCCTGAATCATAGATAACAAAAGACTTTAAAATAAAACTTCTCACCAATTTCGGTTGCTTTATCTAGAAAATTGAGTGTATGATGCAGTGATTGAATTTTGAATGATTTTCAAAATAGAAGTGATTTTCGGCAAAATTTCCCAAAATGTCTTTTTTTCTAAAAGCTAAATAAGAAGGTTTGTTAGTGATAATCATGTATTTTTTGCATAGAAGTAACGTACTTGATCTTGGAGTATTACCCAAACTTTTTCTAAAAGTCTCAGCATATACTGTTGTCCTGCTAGCAAATCTATATTATAAGCTAGATTAAAATTACTGTTGTCTTATTTGTAAATATTATTTGTCATATTGTTATAAATATATGTACATGTTCATATTGTACGCTGTCCTAAATGCATGTTTCGATACAATAACATCTTATCTTATTTCATACAACAGGAAAATACTGTAAAACAGAGATGTACGTACACAGACCCTGCAGGCCACTGATCCCTGCTCAATGTCACCATGATCTTAACAAATGGCACCAAAGAAGTCAAATCTTTAGTCTTTCATCCATGCAAAATAAATATTGTTATATCTTTGGTAGTTCCTGTGAGGAAAGGGGCGTTTAAATACATATACTTCTCTGCGTAATTATTGGGGTTTTTTTTCATTTTGTGGGAACAAAAATCCGCAAATGAAATTTAGAAAGAGTCGTTGTAACACAAGCATGTAAAAGGATAGTTAACTCAATGAAAACACAAGATGGTGAAATTCTATATTAATATTGATAACATTATAAAAATATCCACCACATGCCTAGCTATACATGTTTCTCTCTGGAAGACATTTTAAAAAAATGAAATGAAATGAAATGGGGTTTAACGTCCTACTTTTCTGCTCCAACTAGGCTAATGAAGACGGGCATACGCCATACAGTGTGCTATGAGGGAAATTTTGCCCGGACAACGGCACTATGGCCTACTCTTATATTGAATTCCAACTGTCAAGGGATCTATTACATGCACACCAATGTGTACACAGGACCTCGGTTTTTCGTCCCATCCAAACGACTAGACAGCTGTCCTTGTCAGACCCTCTGTCCTGCATCATTGACAAGGGGGAACCACGCCGGAAAATCTGGATGAATTTTCTCAACCAATGCGCAGGGATCGAACACCCAACATCCAGGCTAGCGAGCCAGCGTCTTACCCATTTAGCCACCGTGACCCACAATATTAAGCTGAACTGGAATCACTAGTAGTTGTATTTATAATGTCACGTTTTGACAAGTATTCTATTAAAATCCTCCACCACATGCCTTGCTATAGTTTCCCTCTACATGTGTCACTCTGTTCCTGTTAATATTTTCTGCCTTTAGACCAGACGCGACTCAGATTTCAAATCAATTAGCTAATGGAAGCTAGGACACATGTTCTAAAACGGATTTAGGGAAGATTATTTTCACAAAATATTAAACAAACAGAAAAAAAATGTCTCGACAACAGTGGTTATTTTTAATCTTGTGTTATAATCTCTAGTATTAGACAAACTGACACAAACTGTGTTGAATATTTTCTCTAGTGAAACAACATTTGGTTTCAAATTATCCTGGTAAAATTATAAAACTGAGGATATCAAGACAGTAGAATATTTTTAGCTTTATGTCGAGTCTAATAGAATAGGTTTCAATGACCTCGAATTGTTGCCAGTTTTTGTTAAACATGCATTATGTAACAAGCTAAATCTGCCTATTGCAGGTCTTTCTTTAGGCAATGAATCTGATCTGTGGTTCAATGGCTGTTGATAATTAACTATAAAAATGGATAATCAAGACTTTGTTTATTATTGTAACAATGGTAACAATGACAATCAAGGCTACAGCTAGTGTTATTAAAATGAGGTTTTCTCGGCTCAGCATGAAGTATCTTGACTGAAATTTTCATCATATTCCTGTTACATTATCTATTTTTTGATTATTATAGCAGGAACTGTCAGTTCTTTATCTAATCTACCATTATAACGCCGCTTTAAGTTTCCAACTCAGTTAACTCCTTCATGTATGTGAATCACCCAAACGGAATAGGAAATAAATAAAACAATTTTCAAAAGTTACAATATAATTTATAATGAGAGAGAGAGAAATGGGGTTTAACATCCACTCCACACAAACTAGGTCATTTCAGGACTAACATATTGTAAATTTATTTAAAAAATTCAATTGAAGTGGGAGGAAACTGGAGGACAAAAAGAAAACCCACAAGGTTGGAACAGGCCACCCTACTCATTGTGTATCGAAATCACGTCACTTGAATCAATGACAGACCTTATGATCTAAAGCAAATGCATAAGACCACTCAACCTCCCAACTCAAATTTGATAATGAGGGATTTTCAATCCGTTGCAAAGATGAAATTAAATTTTCGCAACATTTGGCAACATCTCTCTATATCTATACCCATTCCATAAATGAACCAATGTGGCTTCAACTTGTCAGTGATGCAGGATGGAGGGCCTGACAAGGACAGCTGTCTAGTCATTCAGATGGGACAAAAAACAGAGGTCCTGGGTATACATTGGCAATCCATTGACAGTTGGAATTCAATGATATAAGTTTAGGCTGTAGTGCCGCTGCCCAGGCAAAATTTCCCTCTAAGCACAGTGTATGGTGTATGCCGGTCTTCATTAGCCCAGTAAAGGGGCAGCTGGACATATTGATGTTAAACCCCTTTTCATTTTTATAAATGAATTATACATTTACTTACTTCATTCAATACTATTATATCCAAAACTTTAAACTGCTATATATATATATATATATCCATATACAATAAAACAACTTTACAACATTAGACATCAACAGGCAGAATCCAACAACCATTCCATTCTATATATC